AGATATGCACACAAAAGTAGGATATACAGATTCAGCAGACTGTAACTTTAAAAATATTTTACATGACCTGTTTTGCATAAAACATCTTTGAGTTATGCATATTCATATTCATAAGTTAATTTTCATAAAATAGGGTGAGGCGTGATAATGATATTCCAAAAATCTTAACCATTCTAATGAAAGTGGGAGGCTGATGGGAGCAAATGCTTGCATCGGCTTCCCTTTCTCCTTGCGACTCTGAGGAGTACCAGCACTGACAGGGGTGCCCTCAGCGTTTGATTTAGCAGGTCTTTACTAGACTAGCTAAATCCAACACCAGATCGATTTCCAGCACGGCAAGTATAGACAAGGCCATAGACGTGGCAACACGCACAGAAAAAAAATGTATATCATGAGCTACTGTGGTATCTACACTGTGCTATGTTGGTGGGAGATGCTCACCTGCTGACTTAGCTTTATGGAAAATCCATTTAAAATACAGAACTGTCTTGGTCAACAGTGATGAGTATAAATATTTTCATAACAAAATTCTGAAAGCAAATACAAGCTATTCACATCTAAGTGTTAATGAGTTTCAGTTAAGGTTCACTTGGCAGTTTCTTGCCATTATTTATTTGCTGTATTTGATCTTGCACACAGTAGATTGATTTACTGGCATTTAAAGGTGACTGCTTTACTTATTACTTTAACAATTACACTGATCTCTCTAGTGCCACCAGCATTTTACCAGTGACCTCAGTTCTGCTTGCTGCCTTTAATCTTTCAAAGCAGAACAAAACAAGATTGAGTTCCACACATAAAACAGCAAGAGAGAGAAAAGGTGTGGGTGGGTAGCAGTAAATGGGCTGCTTTTCCTTAAAGTTCATTGATCTCTTGTGGTCACACTTGTGAAGAGAATGTTAATTGAATGGGTCTGAGGGACAACATCTCTTTTGTTAGCACAAGGTAAATCCAGAGACATGACAGTGGAAGGTAGAACTAAGACACATTTCCTTTAGACATGTTGTAAGGATGGGCTGCCAGCGTCTTTTCAGGTGAGAAGGATTGTCTTGTTTATCTGGCATCACGGCCACAGTCTTTGCCAGCAGGAAATGAACCCACCACTCCTTCAGAGAGGGTGTTGCTAATAGAAAGCAGAGGCACTCCTCTCACCCTCTGCCTCCTGCTAGATAGGCTGGCTATAGGACCCTTTCAGCACTCCTACACATCATGGCCCACAGTACAAGACATGGAACATGACAAGACAGCAAACAAGACCACAGGAAGGCAAAGCAGCATCAGTGGTTGGGCAGAGAAAAAAATACCAGAGTTTAAGGGGCACTGGCGTAAACCGAACACAATTAGCAGCATGCAACTATAGCTTAATTCTTGACTACTGAGGAAGTGGCACAGATTCTATTACAAATGGGAAAACACTCATCCTGTGAAGCCCGCACAGAAATTCAAGACAACATAAGAATAATGGTCAGTGAAGTCCATATATAAAACTATGACAAAAAGACAGAGCCAAAAACCCAAGAAATGGACATTTTAAACAAGTGAACATGAAAGAGGTTACATGACTTTTTCATTTAATAAATGAAAGTTTAACATCATAGCTATCTGTATTCTATCACATTTTGTCTGACAGAATGAAATCTCTTGTTTTATTATAGGTCAGAGCAAGTTCTCTCACAGGAAATCTTGGATGAAAATGAATTATTGGCATCAGTAAAAACCAGCCCAACGTTCTTTCTATGGTAACTAATTTTTGACACTTTGATCTACTTTACATTTCTGCCCGTTGAATGATACCCAAAACAGGGATTTATTTATAACATCACCTACCAACTGGGTACATTACAATAAGACAAACTGATATGCTACCTCTTTTTATTGATCCATAAAGCTAGTTTTTATTCAAGGTGACATTAATAGAAATGTCACATTACTTAGAGAGAAAAACATAAATTTCACAAAATTCTTACCAAAACTATTTAACAATTCTGAGGCTAACACGTGCTGCTTGCTGTCTGCACTGGTACTTGAAACTTTGATGTTTTAAAGATGCAGAATTAAAGTCACAGTTTTTTTAAAAAACAACAATATTGCAAATTAAATGGTTGATGTGCCAGCTCATGCTAATTCCTCATGCCAATTCACCTGTATATTAGTACTGATCAACGTGATTGTTAAATGCATCAGAATATATTATACAGATTATAATATAATAATATTATAATATAACCTCCTTAATTGAAATAATAGCTGGCTGGGACATTACCAACCTAACATTTAATGAAGGTGCCAGCAGCTCTGTCCGTGTAGATTCTTGCATTAATACTTTTCCTATTTAATTGCTAGTCTATGATCCTTATCTGCTTCTTTTAACTATCCGATGCTTATTGGTTACCAGCTCTGCCTACTTGGTTTTCCCTTTGATATTTTCATACCCTCTGCTCCTTGTTTCCTGCCCCCCTCCTTTTTTTTCCTTCCCCCTTCTCCCCTATTTATTTTAAACTCAAAACTCCGGTCATCTGAAGAAGTGGGCTGTGCCCACAAAAGCTCATGATATCTACATGTTTTGTTAATCTATAAAGTGCTTCCAGACCATTTGTTGTTTTGTAAGTTTATCCTGTACAGACTAACTCAGCTACCCACTGAAGCTTAAGAATATATTTGATGTTTAAAAGTCACGACACCTAATGGATGCTTCATGCATTGTTGACACTTACCTGTGTCCCATTAGAATGCAATAGAAAACATCTACATTATATATATATTCCTGCAACTTAATAATCTTTTCTAGGAGAAAAGTCTTGTGTAATGCAAATGTAGAACTTTAACAGGAAAATACCAGTTCCTGTGCACTTCAAAGCAAGCGGTCATTGTATGTGATGAGTGAAGATCAAAAACTCCAAATACATTCTGCTGTCTCTGTCATCAAAGAAAGAGCCCGTGTGGATAGCAGAACTGTAAGTTTGTTTTTTGTGAGAAGAAGCTATAAAGCATGGACACCAAAAAAAAAGTTCATCACTGCACTGTTTGGATTCTAACGGGAGATTAATTGAACAAGGCAGCAATCAAGAGAGTTATTCTGGGTAGCCCTCAGAGCCCATTTCTACCACCATTTGGAAATCTAGACCAGGGATACTCAACTTGGAAGCCCCGGGGGCCACAATGATACTCACAGCACATGCCAAAGGCCACAACTTAAGTGTGGTTGCATACACATGCAAATATATATGCAAATATATGCAAATAGCTTCTTTCACACTGACAGACATGAATACAAAGCACTTCCCACAATGCCCCGGTGCTCCTGGCACCTCCTCCCTGGGGGCTAGAAATGCCGACACCCTGTACCCGTCTGTTCCAGCCAGCCGGTCCGCTTGTGTCTTTCAGCGCTCATCCCGCCTGGGAGACGCCTCCCCATGGTGGAGCGTGTTCCCAGTGGAGGCCATGTTCAAAGGATCCCACCCGTGGGCCGCATGTTGAGCCCTGCGTAAACCCAAACCACACCACCGGCCACATGTTGAGTAGCCCTGTTCTAGACTGTCACTCACCCGTACATATATTTATCTGATTTAGCCTCTCAAAAGCTCTCATTTCTTTTTCCTAGCTAATAAGCCTTTAATTAGTTTAGCATACAATAGGCTACAAGCATTGTCTTTGGTGTGAGGCCTAGGATGCAAATCGACCGGGGTGAGCGACTGATCCCTTGGGACTGGGTGTAGCCTAGAATGTGGTGTTTTTTGTTTGCATATTTTGGGTTTTTGCTGCAAATGACAGTTTATCACTTAGTCCATCTTGCCTCAGCAGCAAGATAGCCTGGAGTGTGAAAGGAAACTGTCTGTGATCCATGGTATTTGTTACTGTCCTAGTGAAATCTAATTCTAGAGCAGGGTTTCCCAACCTATGGGTTGGGACCCAAATATGGGTCGCCATTACATTTCAAAAGGGTCACCAAGTGTCTCCGCCGGTGGCTCTGCCCTTCCTCCTCCCCCCGTTTTTTAATTGCCTTGGGTCACCAAGTCTTCCTGAATTGTCAAAATGGGTCCCCATCTGGAAAAGGTTGGGAACCGCTGCTCTAGAACGTGCTATCAGTTTAGGACGTCTGCCTGAGGTCAGCTCTCACAGTCGTGAGCCACTCCAGACAACGCAACAAAATAAATTGTTGTTAATTTTCAAAGACCATTATTTTGCACTTTGTTCACAACAGCCAATTGGAAACTTGGTGTTTGAAATAGTTCTGCCCTGGCAACTGCACACTGGTTAGTTAGTGCAGAGCTTCCCAAAAGAACTACACAGCTAGCTATTTGCAGTTACACTGAACCCTTTGTTTGGAAGAGGGAGAACAGATAAGGAATTACACGGATTCTGCAAACAGAGAAAGAACAACTTTTAGGTCCCTCAGAAGTACAGAGCAGGATTTCCTTTAATTTGTGATAACATATTTTAAAAGCCCATATTCAAATGTGTGATAGGTGAATGAAAGGGACATTCAAGGTGTTAAAAGTTTCATATGGATTACCATGAGAACATCATTATTTTAGTTCTGTACCAGTTACAGCAGCGAGTAACAGAACCAAAGCCACCATTTACTATAGCTGGGACTCCTCCAGGCCCACAATGTCACAGAAACACAGAAGTTAGAGGTAGAAAAAAACCTGTAGTCATCTAGTCCCATACTTATTAATAAAGTGACATGGAGATTTTCATGATAATGTCTGTCCTGTCCAGTCTGCATTTGTTCAGGTACAGGCAGCTGATCGACTGTGTGGGGAAAGACTTCCATGCTCAGATCCCACAGTCTCAGGATGCCTGCCACCCAGAACAAGTGGAATTGCCAGATCTGTCCAATGCTGGAAGCTCAGCGTCTAAAAACAGGCAACCCTAATGGCAGTGAAAAGTGTAAATAGGTTAGCAACAGCCTCATTTTCTGTTGGCTACCGACCCGCCTGTGTACAAGGACTGCTGAGCATTAGAGGACAAAACATGGCTGAGTCCCACAGCATTACCTGTTTGTAGCTATCTGGTTCTCTAATGAGATCCGTTTCAGTGACAGAGAAATGACCAATGGTCTGGTCCATATGGGAGCCACTAGTGTAAGAATGGATCTGAAACAGACAAACAGACACAAGTAAGTACAAACCAACCAGGCTGTTGATGACTGAAAAGTGGTGCAACCTGAAGGCCACTTGGCAGCCCATATGGCATTAATTGGTGGTCACAGCCCAACTCCCAGCAGACAGATGCGCACACAATGGCCACTTGCTGAAATGGTGCCATTTGTTATAGGCTCCTAGAAACCAAGGCTGACTGACCATACGGAGTTAGCAACCCTCTCACTCAGAAACTGGTTTCGCTGGGTGGCACGCAGAAGTTTCCACTGTTGCTGACAGGTCTAAAGACAGAAAGCTTCGCTTCCCAAGGTGTCTCAGGGTCTAATACTTTAACCCCATAACAGAATTCACTTGTAAAGACTAACAAGTTATTAACACATTACACACATACCTGTTAGAGCTCTACACCATCTATAGCTTCTGACCTCTTCCTTTAATGCAGAAATATACCATTTAGCAGTATTAAATCATAGCTAGCTCTTTACTGATGCTTCCAGAAACTAGTCCCAGCTGTTCTGATGAGGTTATCAATTACATGGAAAAGAATCTTCCCAAGTTAGTACAGGGAACAATAAAAAGCAATTCCCTGCATTCACTGCTGATGCCTTTGTTATTATAATAGCTGCAGCTGTCTGACAAGATACTAGTGCTCATTTATCACACAATCTTTCACGTTTCATTAAGATTTCTGTCCATGTGACTTGAGAATTTTAGTTGCTTTTCTTCCTTTGTTCTATTATTACTATTCTCATACACTTAGAGATTGACAAATATTTTAAATTGATGATTAATTATCTGGTCTCCTTGAAACTTAAGATTCTGATAATCCTTTTTGGAAACTCATTACTGGTGGAAACCATCTGGCACAAGACAGGGGTCTGTGCAGAAGTTTTAAAAAAAGGAAACTCCAAACACTTTTCTCACTAACTCATGCTGCTGCTGCCTCCCTTCCTTCCTTCCTTCAGTTCTGGACTCTCCTCCATCCGGATGTATTATGGCTCCAACTAGGAGAGTTTCTTATTTTGTAACTGGTGTTTTTCAAGCTGTGTGGCTCACATCCATTCAGTTTAGGTGTGCGCACTCACCACGTGCATCCGTGCCAGACGTTTTTCCCTCAGCAGCACCCATAGGGGACAGGCTCTGGTGCCCCCTGGAGCATGGTGTGGTAGAAAGGGCACCATCGACTCCCTCAGTTCCTTCTTGCCAGATTGACCAGGAGACCAGGGCGGGGAAGGGGAGCCAAGGGAAGTGAGGACTGCCCCCTACTAGCCCCTTTCACTGGCCTGATGATTCTGCCTCTTTCTGCATGGTTTTATGAGACGCAATCCCACTCCAGACACAGACACTCCAACATACAGTAGAGATCTCTCCTTTTCTCCACCATTGCCCCAGTGGAGTTGGAGCTGCCTCGATCCCCATCTCTGACCCATTGCTGCCTCTATGCAGTCATTCTACAGTAGAACTGTCCCTGCTAGCAGAGCCCTTCCTTTCCGGTTTCTGATGGGCAATCGCATTCCAGTCACAACCCAGTGTTCTGGCACGGCCAAACCTTAATCTTGCTTTAAGTTATGATAAAAGGAAGCTGCCTACCAGATTTGGTGGCCCTCACTTCCCTTCCCCGCCCTGGTCTCCAGCCACGTTTTTTCCGCTAGCAGTTTAAATAGGACTCTGAGTCTTCCAACAACAGTGTCTTTGTGTTGCAATGTTTTCCCTCTTTCAGGCTTTAGTAGCATGGAGCTAGTGCTCTGAACAAAGGAGGCTCATGGTCATAATGTATTTTATATGTAGTGCCTGTCATTGTGCCATTTTATGCGATACAAGCTCTTCTTTGGCCCTGTGTAGTGTTGGTCTGTTACCTCCCCAAGAAGGTGTTAGCCCAGAAGGCAGCGAAACATCTGATGAGGCAAATGAGTCTGTCTGTCCAAGAATTCCTCCTCTTACCACTTAGGAGGAGTTCTTGGACAGACAGACTCACTCTCTCAAAGTTATAATAACTAAATAATCATGTGAAAGGTCTGGTCTGTATAAATGTCCAAACATTTCTTGACTCCTACTAAGATTCTGACCTCAATGTAAGACTTTCCACAGGCTAACTGTTCAGCCAATGTGAAAAAGCATTTCCTTTATCAGGTCTGAGAATGCTTGACATCTAGAAAAATCTACCTTTGCAAAATCTACCTTTGACTGCCAAACTGAAGTTTCCACTTTATGCATCTGACGAAGTGGGTTCTAGCCCACAAAAGCTTATGCCCAAATAAATCTGTTAGTGTCGAAGATGACACGACTCCTCATTCTTTTTGCTGAAATAGATTAACACGGCTACCCCTCTGTAACTTGCCATATTTAAAAAGCGTGTGAAAAAGTCTTTCGCTAGTGAAAGTATTGCATACACTTTCTTTTCCTTCCATGGCCATCAAAGCTTCCAGAAAGGAACTGCAGCTCTGAGACTTCCCTTCCATGAGACAGGCAATGATGCTCAATGCTGCTTGCAAATTTCAGGTGAAAATGCAAAAAAAAGTCAAGCTTAAAATTCAAAATGACCTGCAACCGTGACTGTGCAAAAGCTATTGCCTCTCTGTAACTTGGAATTGCTTTAGAACTGCTGACTTAATTCAGTCCTTCACTGCTATGTTCAGAAGGGGGCGTCCGCATCTAATTTTACAATTGTCGTGACTTTCCATGTCGCATTGAATAGAGCATGGAGAGGTGGACACCCTGCATTACATTTCTGCCTGTTGTCTGGAACCTGCACTTCTGCCCTGGCCAAGCAGCTTCCAATACACAGAATATGAAGAACAGCTTGGACGTGTTTTGATAGATACAGAGTGACCCTTCCTTGGTAGTCAGGGTGGGGAACATGCCAAGCTGCAAGAGACAGCTCATGTGGCCATCAGTTTGTTAGGAGTTTGCAGAGAGGGCTAAAGAGGGATATATTTGTATTTACAGGTGTCTACATTTCTCTATATAAAATACAAAGCTAGTGAACCAGTGCTAATGACAGACCTGGTATTCACTGGAAGGGCATTAACAATACGCAATTCCACTGTGGGCCACAAGAATTTTTACCTTATGAAGGAGTTTACATTGCTCCTGCTGGTCAACATGCAAAGTCCGCCATTGGAACCACAGCCTGCCATTTAACCACTGGAGATATCGGACATCCACTTCTCTTTTCACACAAGGGTTGGATGCTGTTTCAGTCCTGCCCTGCCAGCTGTTACAGAGATTATCTTCACACTAAAAAAAGCAGAAGATAGCAACAAAATGGTTTAAATCATTGTCTACATTTTCAAGGCATTAAGCAGTAAATAACAGGTAGGGTGAGCAAGACAAACACCGGCCAAAAAACAATGATAATCAGCACCAGAAAAGCAAATAACTGCTTGAAAAGGAATCATAAATGTTGCAGAAGCTGAGGAGAAAAGGATCTTTCTGCAGCCACAGGATATGCCCTCACATCTTTTGGAGGAAAGCGAGAAGACGATTGGAGACAACTAAAGATAGGCTGCCCACAGAACCCATCATGATTCTATTCAGTTACAGCCAGAGTGACCCAGGGGATGGGAGGTTGGACGAAGTGGAACAAGAAGCCCACAAACCTACATCATTGCCTCATCCTTTTATCCCGAGTGACTCTACTACAGAGAGACAGACTTCTGAGAGGTTATATCCTCAATGACCAACTGGGGATTTTACTGGAAACGAGGTTTTTATCATTTTCCAACTTTCACCAAAATTAATAAGGTTCTTGCCCACTGATACCCAGGATTGTCTTGAAACCGATCAAATGTAGTTTCCAAAAGTTATCACGTTACATACAGACCCAAAGAGAAATGCCATCGAGTTATCTATAATGCCTCACTTCTCTCAGCCAAAAATAGGCAAAAACAAAATATTTATATGGTTCCTACCCAATGGACTGAATGTCCCTTCCTCCCTAGCCCCAAGACAGAAAGAAATTACATTTATTTGCAGGGCTCGACAAATCACTGAATCTACTCGCCCGTGGCAAGTAGATTTCAGCCGGTCGCCCCGTTCACAGGCGGTGCGCGCATGCGCAATGCAGAGCTGGCAAGTAGATTTTGCCGCCGTTTGTCAAGCCCTGTTTATTTGCATGCAAAGAAATACCCAGTTCTCCAGGACAGTACACAAGCTTTCTCTATCTTTGTATGCTGTGTAGTTATTAAGTATCTTGAACAACAGGAAAACCAAAAAAAACCAAAACCCCTAAAACAGTTATCTTCTGTCTTATCCTCAGTATGTCAATGGCCAAACTAAGAACTGCATCCTGATGTCAGCCCAACCAGGGAGAGCAGCTGAGTCAGTGACTTCACAAAGATGCCCCTCTCAGTCCCTACAGACAAACTCTGTTTTGTCTCCTAGCCAAAAGGAAAGGAGGCAGCAGCTTACAGATTATTTCAGTCTATCAACCTCTGGGTTCTGGATCATGTATACTCCCCACTATACCACCGATACCTACACTGAAAAAGAAGTTGAAATCTGAGCTTTACCAGGATCATCAGATGCTGTTAAGGAAGAGTATTTGCTGATTACCATGGTGTTGTGTGGTTCGATTTTTAGATCCAAGGGAAACCAGGACACTCCAGAGAGACTTAAGCACTTACTTATTTATTGCAAGCAGTTAATATCGTTGTTTAAATTTTACAAGCCTTAAAAACAATTACTACACAATTTAAACCGTAAATACTATAAATTCTAAAGCAATTAACACAGAGCAAAGCAATGCAAAAGCAATTAATAGAAGATTATTATAATACAATAATTAAGCCTAGTTCACTTACACTTCACCCGTATGCTACCTACAGTACCAGGCAGGAGGTTGTGGTCCCTTTGATTCCCAAACGTCGGGACACGAAGCCCTGCTGCAGCCAGTGTGAAGAGGTCCATTACTTCTAGTTACAAGCAGGACCTGTGGGTCAATCCTACTCCCTCCCACTGATTATCTTTTCTACATCTATATTTATACTCAACTTGGTCATTCTAGTAATGTCGACCAATTGATTACCTATTGTATAAAATACTTATGATGCCCATATTTGGGATACATCCTGCTATTCAGGCTGTTGCCAAAAACTATATGCTTGATTGACAGTTCTATGGCTGTACCTGTGATTTTTGCTTATCAGAAACGTTATGTACTAGTATCAGGTTTCTCCATGTTTTTGGCATCGTTTCACTGTTTCATGCTCTCTCTGCACTACTGTTTAAAGCACTCCTGACTCTCAAAGCTCCCCCCCCCTCGTCCTGGACTGTGTGCTTACGTGCACCAGACCTGAGTCAGGCCTGGGTTTGCTTTGCTAGAACGCCGCACTTTGGGCAAGACAGCCATCGTTAGTCCAGTCAAAGCAGGGCCAGACAATGCTGACATTATTATACTGGTCAAGATGAGGTTGTCCAGAGTCCCCTACACATGGGATTCTGAATGCTTCAGTCACCTAGAGAGATGAGTCAAATTCTGAATCTAGGACGATTCACTTCAACTATTTCTTTCTGCAAGGAAGATTAGCTGCATTCACTTATTTCCCTCACCCTTGCTTTGTAAATTAGCAAGGATCAGAACTAATAACAAATCCATTAGCTACAAGCAGAAAGACTCTAACAACTGTAACAAAAAACAGGACTATGTAGCACTTTAAAGACTAACAAGATGGTTTAATAGGTGATGAGCTTTCATGGGCCAGACCCACTTCCTCAGATCAAATAGTGGAAGAAAATTGTCACACCCATATATACCAAAGGATACAAGTAAAAAAATGTACATTCCTTTCTTAAAGGAACAGAATCCACAACCTAAAAATGGCTGGAAAAGAGAAGGGGGAAATGGTGAGACATCTCTACTGCAGCCTACGCCTGGAAAGGTCCAACAGGAAGAGAAATCAAGGTGACCTTGACTACAATCGATTGGAATGTGTGAAATTAAAGCTCCACAGGCCATTTTCCAGAACCCGTTGAACTGATTGTCTCTCCCTGCCCCACCTTTGCACAGGCTCCTAGGTGTGTGTGTCTGGGTTTCTTTACCCCTGTTTTCTCTTGTCGCTCCCTTCGCACCTTGATCAAAAGTTCTACTGCCACTGGAGTCCATTGTGGGACGGTAATTCTGCCACTTGCTCCTTGCTGCAGGGGTGCCTCTGATCACTGCGATGGCATGCAGCATGCAGATTAATGAGGAAGGAATGATAATTATCTCTGATATCACAATGATGGTGCTTAAGAAAGATCTTTTGAGATGGCCTGAACTAATATTATGATTACATATAATAATCATTCATTAGTAAATTTGCTTAATGACAAAATACATTTTTCAAATGTACACTATTCAAAGCAGTGATGAAAATGTGTACCTGTGAGAACATCTGGGCCTTCAGAAACTATGGTTTTGTACCAGAAGAAACAACGAGGAGTCCTGTGGCACCTTAAAGACTAACAGATTCATTTGGGCATCAGCTTTCCTGAGCAAAAGCCCACTTTGTCAGATACAAAATACAAACGAACAAGAGGATTCCCTACCCTCACAAATGATGTCACCCCAAGTTACCTTTCTTTAAATGGGGCCTTTTAAAGTGCCACCTCTGCTGAGAAAGCATGTAAGCAGCTGCTTACATCCCACTGATGCCACTGGGATTTAAGCACTTATGCTTTCCTTAATCATAGGCTTCGGCGTTAGCAAATAGCATCTTATTTAAAACATTCAACTGGCCGTGAAGGATGGGTGGGTTGTTGTTGTTTTTTCAATTTCAGGCCTAAATTAAAACTGAATAATAAAATAAAGAGATTTTAGTCCTGTCTTAAATGTAAATTTCAACACAATCTTAATTAAGTGAATAATGCAAGCTTAACTCAGCCTGGACTGCTAAGAGGGCCCTTAACATTGTACACAAAAGAGAGCTGTTCTGACTGCCTGGTAACATATTAGGAC